AGGTTCAATGATGTGCTATGAAAAAGGGTTTTGTACGTGGTGAAGAGGGGAGGGAGGGACGGGGGGAGATTGGATACGTGAGCAAGTGGAGGACTTGATAAGATAAATTTTTTAGAAAGTTTGAATTTCATAGAAAATAAAATCCCACTCTACCCAAATAAAATATTTTCCTTGTTTTCAAAGAAGCCAGGTCACATGATTAAAAGTGGGAAAATCTTTTCCACAAAAAAATAGTTAATCAAACGGCATAAAAATGATAATTTAGGTGGAAAAAAAGATATTTTTCATGAAAAATGTTGACAACCAAATGCACACTTGGATCAATTTAATATTCATTCTATTCAAATTTATTCAGGCCCTTTTTCATATATATTAACAATCGAATTAACCAATTTTATGTAGTAGTCTCTCCGAAGTAAAATTAACCATTTCACATGTCCGAATTTATTATATTTTTTTGTAAATTCATATACATGTAGAAGCATTTAATTTTAGGAATTCAATCATGATTGCATAACCTATAAAAATATCGCTTAATCACTTATAACACCTATACCATTTATTGTTCAATCTAGAATCATATATTACCTCTCGATTTTCGTACTATCTCTAAATTGATCAATTGGTGATCAAATAATTGACGCATTAAACACACAATAAATAATTATCATATGATCAAGTTGCATGAAATTTTTGGAATTATATAAATATTAAGCCTAAACTACATTGCTCATTAGAACAACCAATTATTTAGCCAATCATAGTTGAGAAAATAAATAATAAAAAGATGAAAAACGTGTTGGGTGCAATATAATGAATATAGAAAAGAATTCTAACAATTGTTGTTCCTTGGCATCCAATTCCCAACAATGGATTTTCAATCTCCTCTTCAAAGCTATAAATCTTCCGACCAATTGTGTTCTTCAACCTTCAAATTCTAAATTGAAAATACAAATCTTGACGATTTAATGAATTTAGATGTGTAATCATGTCTCAAAATTGTATCTTTATTTTTCCTTAATTTTGGAAGGAAAGATTCCAATTTATAGACTTAATTTAGATCTAAAATAGAGTTATAAGCGGATAAGGAACCATAATTTTAGCCCAAGTAGGATATCTCGAATTGTAGGCATGATTAGGTCTTTGTTTCTTCTCTTGATTTAGATAGAGTCCTTAAATATTGTAATCGAGGTCCTTCAACTTTCAAACATGACTCTTTGATCCCCAACTTTCAGAATTTGTCCAACTTGATCTTTTTTTTTAATCACTTATTGCTCTTTTTCATCCATTCTCGTCCAATATTGAGCTTTCTCCTAAAATCTTAAAAAAAAAAAAAAAAAAAACACACACACACACACACACACACAAAATTAAGTATCTAGTTAATAAAAGTATTCCCAAAAGTTATGTTTTGACGGCTAAAATAAATGTAATACATATATAATTAATTATTCATGGGAAGAAGTAAAATAAAACAATGCAGAGAGTATTGTTCGACTAATCACACTTTATTTTCAAAAAAATTCAATATTCTCTTTTTACTATCAAATATGCTCTTTATTTTAAAGATTATTGTTGGAGATACTCTAATAAAATAACATAAATTGTGATGGTTAAACTTCTAATGAATTTTTCAAAAGGTTTGAGTATTGCTATTTAGCCCCGTTGGGGTTGAACCCCAATCTACATGGTTACACAATCAATATCCTGCATTGCATAATTTTGTTTTTAAAGCCGGAAAAAAAAAAATACATTGCGCCTCCGTTTGGCTCCCTTTAAAATTTAAATTGTTTTTTACAGTATCATTCTTCACCACACATTCACACAATAAAATATTATATACACAAATAAATAAAGTTTCCTTATTTTTTAATCACACATTCTTTAAAAAAAATATTATTTAAAACTTTTTAACTTTCCAAATAATAGGCAAAAAGGGGGCTGCACCTTCCTTAAAAAAACTAGACATTTTAATTTTCCAATGCCACTAAAGAAGGAGATGGCTGAATTTGTTTCAAATTCTCTCTCTAATCTTCTCCGTCTTCGCACTCTGACCATGGTCACCACCGGAAATTCAAGCCTCCTTTTCTTTTACCTATTGCTCAACTTCTTAACAAAATTTTGAATAAAAAAGATGGCTGCATCAACCCACCCGTCGTAGCATATTTTCTTTCGTATATTCGAACCAAAATAATGCTACATTTTTATCTACAAATGTCATTGAAGCAATTTCTAAAACTTGCCAATGTGAAAATTTAATGACTGAAGAATATCTAAACATGTTGGTTCACTCTAAAATCAAGTGAACCATAATTAGTTTTACCAGTTTATTTTCCAAAAAATGAATACAACATAATCCATGTGTGAGATGAAAAATTATTCAATTGTACGACGTGTTTATGATATTTTGCCAAATTGATTTACAAGGATTCACGTGACAATATTTCATGAATAATGATGGTGGTACAAAATGATGTCCATTTTGGTGTCCAAAATGGACACCCGGCACCTCGGTATTGGCCAAGGTGCCGGTGGATCCCGGCGTGGTAGGCACCTCGACCAATACCGAGGTACTGGGTGGCCATTTTGGACACCAAAATGGTATCTAAACATGTTGGTTCACACTAAAATCAAGTGAACCATAATTAGTTTTACGAGTTTATTTTCCAAAAAATGAATACAACATAATCCATGTGTGAGATGAAAAATTATTCAATTGTACGATGTGTATATGGTATTTTGCCAGATTGATTTACAAGGATCCACTTGACAATATTTCATGAATAATGCTGATGGTACAAAATGGTGTCCAGACACCCGACACCTTGGTATTGGTCGAGGTGTCGGTGGACCCCAGCGTGGCAGGCACCTCGGCCAATACCGAGGTATTGGGTGTCTATTTTGGACACCAAAATGGACACCATTTTATACCCATAGCAAAGCCGATATTTCATTGGGTGTTGGATTAAAAAAAATAAAATTATATTGACAACACATGTAAATCTGTTTGTACAGAATCCCCATACAAATATATTAACAAAAAACTATTATGCCTACACACCCAAAGGCTTTTTGGGAGCCATTTTTATGTAAAAATATATTTTGAAATAGTAAATTGATGAGAAACTTATGGTTGAAAAATAAGGAATTTTTTTTGATTTACGTGTAATATTATTTTAATGAAAAATGTGTAGTTGAAAAGAAGAGAGAGAAATACATTTTGAAAAAAATTGGTACCAAACGGGACTGTAATATGATAACTTGGCATTATCCCATATTCTAGGACAAATGAAAAGTATTAGGAATGAAAAACCATCATTAGTAAGTTTTCCGAAAAAAAAAAAAAAAATCTTATTCCCTTCAAAGTATTAGGAATAAAATTATTAATATATTTAACCTTTTGTTAATTAATAATTCAATCTCGATGGATCTCCATTAATCCTTTAACCGAACAAAATGGTAGAGCCAATTCTTGAACTGGCAAATTGCAAATGTCATCCTCAACTTTTATCACCCTTTTCACTTCTATCTCCAATCTTTCAACCTTGTATATATATTATTAGCCACCGTCTAATGGCATTGGGAGGCGGTGTGGGTGGATGGTCAACGGTGGGCTGGGATTAAGGCAGCCACATAGGTGGCATTAAATGTGTGTTGGAAGCTTTGTCGAAGTGTGAAGGCTTTTTTTTATTCAGTTGGAGAACATAGAAATAGCAAGCAAGAAATTGGAATGAATCTACCTTTTATTTATTTTAAAGCTCGGATGCTATTTCATCTTTCTATCCTTAACGCCAATATTACATTTAGCTGTTATTAAGGACGGTGATTGCTAACTTATAAAAAAGTTGTGATAAAAATGTCAAGAAATAAAGGTTGAGGACTGGATTCATCTGTATGTAATCAGATTTCCAATCTTGTCAAGTTCAAAGCCCATTATGATTTTACTTGCATAACGTAGGACTTGCCTAATTTTGGAGAATCCTTCTAGGGTTTCAAAATTACAGCTGGAAAAGCTCGTATTTCCCCCTCCTTTCGCTCTTGCTCTCCTCATCGCTTTACGGTGAGGAAAAAGTTCAAATGTTTTTCTTTTGTCTGAAATTATTACTGTAGCAAATTATCAAAAAATAAGCACAATTTGCATTTGATTTGTTCTTGATTTCTTTCTGTCTTTCATAATTCCATTGCTTTGAAATCTATAATCGGCACAATTCTATCTGTTTTAGTAAATGATAATGAAATGTTAATTGAAATAATATAAGTTCAGTGTTGAACTCGTGCTGTGTTCTGAGTGCAATATTTGAGCTTCGAAAATGTGATTTCAGGTTAATATTTATCGAAACCCAATCTAATTTTCAGTTTACGATTTTTGAAAATAGCTTGATTTAGATCCATAACCTAATTTGCACAAATTTTTGTCGGCGTTTCAAATTTACTGGAATTTAAGCATTCCTCCTATCTTTTATTATCTCAATTTCAAAATACATTTGAAAAGAGAGAAAATTTTTGTTTTTGTATTTTTAATGAACTAAATCGAATCTTTTGGTTGTTATTTAGTAGCTAATTCATCATTTCATTATGCTGTAGGAATATACTTTTTTATTTTTCATGAGTTGCCATGATAATCTTTTGATATTCTATTTTTAACCTCTTTTAAATTTGGTGGGTGTCCGTGTCACTGCATTGAATGATATAGCATGGCTGAGGTAAAATCATCCGGAAGACCTATTGATCAATTACTGGAGAAAGTCCTTTGTATGAATATACTCTCTTCTGATTACTTTCGGGACCTACTGAGATTGAAAACTTATCATGAAGTGATAGACGAGATTTACGTTACCGTCACCCATGTGGAGCCATGGATGACAGGCAACTGTCGGGGTCCTTCTACGGCGTTCTGCCTTCTTTACAAGTTCTTTACCATGAAACTCACTGTCAAGCAAATGCATGGGCTACTGAAGCACCCAGATTCTCCTTATATCAGAGCGGTAAGTGCACCTTATTTGTTTATTTTATTTTGGGTCTAATGAACTGTACAGTGTTGAGGTACATAGATGATAAACTGTAACTTTAGATGGTCTTCAATGATGAGGAATCAGTGACTAAATGATGTCGTGGGGAACACATTTGATGTTGGTCAAGTTCCCTTGTGCTTCTGACAGTCTCATTTTTGTGATTTTGAGGCTGGACATATTATGAGCAGAAATCAATATTATTGTTATGACATAAAGAACATAGATTTTTCAAGTATAAGAAATGCCTGAAGGCCTAATTTGGTTAAAAACCATTACTGTCAATCTATACTTCTACATGGTAAAATTTTGGAGCAACTTAAATGGTCGGCTAGTGGGGATACAGGCAGGTCAGGCAGAAGAAAACTCAAGGTGTATTTTCATGCCCTGATGTCATGTAATCTTCAGTTCTTCAAACCAGCTTCCTGGAGATGCAAATAAGGAAGTGATGCCATAGCTATGGTATTTCTAGTTCCGGGACATGAGTAATTTGTACTTTCTAATGCCACGACAGCTATCAGAATAAAACAGAAATCAGTTGAAAAAATTCATCATGAGCCTATATAATCGGGAAAGAGAAAGACCAAACTCAGACATTGGGAAGAAACACATCTGCTCCATGCAAGAATTGAATGTGCTAAATGGTGGAGAATCTGATTGACCTTTTGACTCTCATGAATTAACCATCCGCTCCCATCTCAAGACAAGAGGCCAGACAGCCTACTGGACTGCTTCGACTATTTTAAGAGGTCAATGCCATGCTAGAAAAAAGATCGCCGTCTACACAATTGCCCACAATCCAAAAACTCTCTCCTAGATCCCGACTTAGAAACCAAGTGTGTAGTTCAAGAACCAACTTTGCCGCTGTCATCCAATAAAGCTACATAGTAGCCAATTTTGGGGCTGTTTGATGATAATGAAACTAACCAGCAAAAAGCATTAATGCTTCAAAGACCAATGTACCGATTGAGGTACAATAAAGTTATAATTCATTAGTTACTCTAAATGTTTGCCAAATTTGAAAAAATCCCGAGGTTATTTATATTCATTGGAAACCCCCGCCTACATCATCATTCAAGATTTCTTGGCCCTATTGGCCATATAATTTGTATAAATGAAACTTCATCAATGCCAGGGAATGGACTGCACTAAGTTGTGGATACTGTTGTATTCCTACTTGAATGAAATAAAAATGACAAGATAGCTTAAAGATTGAAAGTACAACTATTTTCTATATGTATCTTTGAGATCGAGTATGGAATTCTGTTTACTCACTTTAAATTGAGTATCAATGGAGAATTGTAATTGTTGCAACTTGCAAGTTAGGTGATGGCTCTTTAAACTGATCTTTTACTTCCTGGATTTGTATTTTTGGCATTGGTTCAGGCTTTTGCGACCATCGTAATGGTTCACTTCATATTGAAGGTGAGAACATATACAATTTATGTTTGGGTACATGGTCAGATTGGTGTAGCACAGGTCCTCCCTTTGCGATGGAATAAGGATCTCCAACATGTTTTAGATACAAACCCTAATCGAACATTATGAAACAATGTCTTGACATGCCACGTGGCATGTCGTTTTTTATATGTTACTAAATTTTCAACACCCGATTCGCACTTCTCTTACACTCGTACATACCATGATGAAGCAGTAGTAAACAATATAGTTCACAGTAATCTTGTTGCAAATAGCTATTCCTCATTCAAAGATTTCACTAAAAATAGTCAAAACGGAATGTAAAATAGGTATTTCTTTGAAAAATAATGGAATTATAAAAGATAAAGTTATAATGATGAGATTCATGGTACGAGAGCTAGCAAGGGAAAGGATTCGTTGGTTGTGGAGGAAGGAACAATAACTAAGTCACGAACAAAGAAGGTTAAAGAAGCCATGGAATTACTTGTTCAAGTTATGGTGAATGAAACATCGATCAGAATGAGCAAAAGGACAAGTTTTATATTGGGCATGGAAGAAGGAACAAGATGGATTAACTTGGTTCAAGCAACAGACAGAAGAGCTGAACAAGGAAGCTGTGCGACCACATGGTACATCTAGGCATTCGGCTGCATGCCTCCATACTGAGACCACACTGAAGGCTGAAGAAAGGCCTATGCGATCGCATGCTATACACCTATGTAACTGCAGAATAAAAATTGTGATGCGAATTTTTCAAATTTTGCGTAGATTTCTATTTTGGTTAAAACTCTTTTTTATGGTATCTTTTTGATATCTTTAGGCTTAATTCCATTTTAATTAGGCTTTTTATGAGTTGCCTATAAATATGACTCATTCTTTTCAAAGACAATTTGAGAGATGTTATTGTGAGAAATATTTGCTTTCAAATCGTTCTCTTTTGAATTAATTTTGAACTTGTCAAGGATTAATTTCTTATGATGTTCATCAATTCAAGTAAGGTTCGTAATTTTTGTGATCATCAAGATATTGTTTGCGATTGTCGTGGTTCTTATCGGGTTGAGCTTTTCCAAATATTGATTATTGGCTTTCTTGGGTTTGATATAATTTGTTGTGGGTTTCGTAGCTTCAATTGCCACTTGGGTTCGCATCATATAATATATAACATTTTATTCGACAGCCCTGATTTGTCTATTACTTCTTGTCATGCTCATTTTAGGGCCTCATAGCACGGTCACACTTCAAGTAAGTATTTAGAAACATGTTGTTCCCTCTTTCTTTCTTTTTTTTTTTTTTTTTTTTTGTATTTAGAAACATGTTGTTCCTTTTTTTCCCCTTTTTTTTTTTTTTTTTTTTTTTTTTTTTTTTTTCTGGGTAGTAACAAAATATGGAGTTAAATTATTCCTCATTTTACTAGTATGGCCAATTTGTTTGCTGGTGTGAGCCTTTAGTTTGGGACTAATGATCACAATCATTTTTGCAGATTGGATTTCTCTACTTAAGATATGTCGCAGATCCAAAGACATTATGGAGTTGGTACGAGCCGTACTTGAAAGATGACGAGGTATGAATAAGGTGCACTGTCTGCTTCCTTCTGCTCAACTCTTGTTGAATTACCATTTTACTTTTAAGTTTGAGTTGTTCTCATATTATTAGTAGTAAATGATAGTGTGCATAATGTTACCCTGACTTTTCTTGATGCAGTATAGGTGTCTTCCTCTGAATTGAAATTTGATATCTGATGACGAAAAACTGGGTAATAATTAATTCGATTTAGCTGTGAATTACTTGTATGCTATCGTGGTTTCTGGCTTTGGCAACTTGTTAGATACTTGACCAGCATAGTCAAAGTTGATATCTGCTTGGAGAACCGACGTGGTTCTCGTAGAGTGGACACACCTTCAATTTTGTTATGTTTGTTTGTACTCTTTTTGTGTATATTTCCATTTAAGATGGGTGTATTCTGATACGTGTGTTTTGCATCATTTGACAAGTCAATTATATTGAATTAACACTGTGACATGCATCATTGGAATCAATCTTTTTCCAGCTAACCAGTGTTACCTTTGTGCTTTTGTTCTCTTGGTGATAATTCCATGCAAACGTGTATGTTCTCGTTTAAGGCAGGTCATCATGATATGTTGTTTTGCATCAATTGACAAGTCATTGAAATGTCCTCTTACTCGATGACTGAGTAATATGCATCATAGAAGTCATTCCTTCACCTGCTTGCAGTCTTAATTTTGTGACCTCTCTTTTGGTAATGTGTGATAGAGCTCTTATGTAACTTGCGGAGCTTCTGTTTCGTGTTTTGCATACATGATGCTCAGGATGAAAGTAGTTTATAATTCGTAAGTGGTACATCTGTATGATTCTTTTGCAGTCAATCTGCTTGTGTGATAAGCCACACCTCTGGGAAAATCTTGTAATAATTTTCCCATGTGTATATATATATATATATAGGTATATGTTAGTTTTTATATATTTTACAATGGGAGTTGAGACTTTTTGGGTTGAAATGTCGTTCGGTGAACTAATGCTTTGAGATGCTTATCTTAGGAAATATTTCTTGTTATTTTTAACATATCTTCCTGAGTTGTATGGGGGCATCCTCAAGTGCTGTACTGGTGTAAGCCTTGATTGTGTAATTAATATCTTGGATTTTGTTTCTTTACCTGCTAAATCTTATTCTTCGCCCTTGTTTGGGCTCCATTTTTTGTAAAAAATGCACTCTTGAATAGTGTTTTGACGCATTTGAACCACACATTCTTTAATAAAATAATATTACATGTAAATTCAAAACTTTTCTTTATTTTTTATCTACAAATTTCCAATCAATACACTATTCAAAAATGCTTTTTTTTTTTGGACAAAAATGGGGCTCAAACAAGCCCATAACTTTAGAAATGCTAATGTAGAAAGCTTTTTCTTCTGAACATTATATACTATTGTAGGAATTCTCTCCTGGTTCTAATGGCCGAATGAGCACGATGGGTGTTTATGTGCGTGACTTGCTTCTTGGACAGGTAAGGTGCTACAGATTGCCTTTGATTGTTGGCCATATTAAACTGCATGTGTTTTCTCCAAGTTTATCCATTTTGCTACTCCTCTTGGCAGAATCTATTGACAGTTAGTCTGTAATATTTCACGTAATAAACTATATGTTTGGTATGGTGTCACCTTCACTTGCTGATGCATAGTCTACTTTCTGATCTTTGTCAATTAAATTCCAGCATGACTTGGTAGTATTGCAATAATTTCTGCTATGGTTATCTTAGAGACATTAATCTTTTAATGATCTATATCTTTCCTTTTAACTGGATAGGTATCTTTGGATCTTACTGTACTCCACTAGTCTTAAGAATATCGGAATCACAAATGAGATAGAATAAAAGACATCACCCAGGACACACCCACAACTTCCAGGTAGCGCATAATAGAATGAAAAAAACTGGACCAGTGTACAGCATTAGGAACTCTTTTCAACTTATTATTCTTGTGCTAGGTTGCTTAAGACATAATCTTTATATATGCTTATCCTTTTTCATTTTAGATCATTTTTGACATCTTTAAGAATTGGGATGTAAGTGGTCCTGATATATTATTGGAGCCTGCATTACTAAATAGATTTGGAGACTGCCAGCTGCATTATAATTGATTTTTTGTATTAGTAACATCAATGGAACATGGAACATTTTACCAATTCTATACACACTATTCTAGCCCCTGTTTGGTGTAGCTAAAATTCGGACTTTTAGTAGATTTTGATAAAAGTTGATGAAATCATTGAAATGTGTGATAACAATTAATTGTTAATTTTGACTTAGATTTTTAACAAAATTTTAATCCATACCAAATAGGGGTCTAATGTAGCGCAATTTCTATGCTGTCATCTGACAATCTGCTTCTTGATTTTGAACTTCCCCTCAAGGTTTCAAATTCTTTATTACTTTGATTCTACGAGGCAAAACAGCTGTTTAAAATTGGAAAATGACTCTGATGCAGAATGACACAAAGGGAATTAGAGAGAAGGGAAGAGGGAAGTAGAGAGAAGAAAAGGGAAGGAGAAGAGAACGAAAGAGAAAATTAGAAATTAGTTAAGAAGAATTCAGGTGGAAAATTAATTCAGATCCAATATCAATAGTAGTCTTGTACAAATAGAAATAACTAGCTACAGCCTATTCACGCTATCAAAGCTAATCTAATCTTAACTTATTTAAACAAAATTCTAGTTTAAATCAAACTCTATATTTAATCCTATTTCTCCTAGAATCCCCGTCAGACACCTGCCCATAATATGTAATTTTGCAATATTTGATGTTTCTGTGAACTGTCTTTTGTGTACATGAGGTGATGATTGGAGTTCATTATGATGCTTTGGAGCCATTTATTAGGGCGTTCAGGGATGAGCTTGTTCCTGTCCCCGCCTATCATTTTGGTTTATTGATTAGATTACTGTTAGGGTATGAAATTGTTATTACAAATGCTAAAGAACGTTCCAATTATTAGATGCATGTCTTCATGCCTTTATCTTCTGCACTTCCATACAACTCAGAAATTTTTTTCTGCCTGCAGTATTACTTTGACACTCTTTTTCCCCGCATCCCAGTTCCTGTAGTGCGAACTATTGTAGCCAATCTGGAAAATATGAAGCTACCTACTAAACATTGTGGCGTTACTGGTGAGACCACCCGTGGATCTGAGGAAACTGCTCGTAGGCCACCTTCTGTCAAAGCTGCTCTTTCTGTTTCCTTCGGTCAACGTGCTCCTCATCGTGCGACAACTAGGGATTCATCTCCTGTTCGCCGTACGCTGCCATCGTCTTCTTATGATAGGGATGGTGATTCAAGACGGTCCCCAATGCGTAGGAGCCAGAGCCGTGATTTATCCGATCTAGAATATTCGGACAGGGACAGAGGCAGAGAAAGGGACAGGGATAGGGATTACTTCCGTGACCGAGGCAGGGACAGAGATAGAGATCGGGAAAGGGATAGGGATTACTCCCGAGACCGAGGCAGGGACAGAGATAGAGATTGGGAAAGGGGGAGAGATCGAGAACGTGGAAGAGACAGAGATCGGGGGTATGATTATGATAGAAGGTCCAGAGATAGCTATAGAAGGGATTATGAGAGGAGCAGCCGTGACGGTGATTGCTATGCCAGAGAAGGTAGTTATTGCCGGAGTCGAAGTCGCAGCAGAAGCAGGAGTCAAAGCATGCACGAACGGAGTCGTCTGAGTCCTGCCAGAGACATAAACAAAGAAAAGACATCTGCATGCAGTAATTTGGCCAAGCTTAAAGATCTATATGGTGACTTGAGCAACCAAAAAGATGACTTGAGCAAAGACAGTGGACCTAACAGGTCTAGTGGTACTGAGGAAGTGATAAAACTTGGTGGTTCCAGTTGGAGGTAATCTTTTTCAATAATTTGAAATTGAGCAGGGGACAAAATTGTTATTCAGATGTTCGAATACATCTTGTATCGGATATAGACAATATCCTTTTTCAGCTCATTTTTACATCCGAAATCGAAGCCGGATATCCATGTGAACGTCATTTATGCTCACATCTTTGATGAGGGAAGTGATGCATGTATAATAGTAGACAATTTGTATGGTATTTCATTAGATTAATTGAAATTTTATTTTTATTTTTATTTTTAGTGGTGTAAGATGACATTGAACAACTGAAAAGCATCGAAATCAGATAGTTATGTTGCTACTGGTTGTTGAACCGTATCTCAAGTTGTTGAAGATGATTTTAGCCTGAGGTTGCATATTTTGACGACGGGGCTTCCTTGGTGGGGTTGCCTCCAAGTATAACTTAGTTGACTTACGTTGTAGTGATTTGTTTTGTCAATTGCACGACACACTTTGTACTAAGTTCTTACATTCTTAGTAGCTTGGTCTATGTACTTTTGTGGGCTATGTTGGTTACTATTGAGAAGATTCAAAACAACTTTCGTGGATTTATCAAACTCTAGCTTGACCTCGAGTATCTCCTTGCATTGTCATAAGCATCGGCCAATTGAACTTGGCCATCCATGTGAACCTTCTTGCTTGGTAATATTCGTAGTTGACCTTGAATTAGTAGTGTCTGTCTAGGTCTTGGATGAGCCATCCGATAAAAATCCGGACCGAATCTTGCTCGGCTCGGCTCAGCTTGACTGGGGTTAGTTAATGGTTAGCTCGTTATAATGAACGGATCATGTTGATTTTGTCTATTCTGACAACTCATAAGGGTCGCTCCAGTTGGTTCAATTATTAAAAATATAAAAAATAAAAGTAAATTAAAGGAGTGGTTGAGCTCTCTCCAAGTTTCGAAGTTAACAATTTTTTCTAAATTTTAATGAATAAATTTTTTGGCAACAAAGACCTAATTTTTCCTACATTTTTACACAATTCTCCATCTCTTGCATAATATTAATTTCTTTTTGAATTTTGATTTAGTTGAAATTGCATTAAATTTCAAGGTAAAAAATTCAATAATGGCAGATTGGTTTGGCTCGGCTCGGCTCTTAATATTGGTGGGTCGGCAGGTCGATTCTCAAATTTGAAAGACAGTTCGAACCATATTTTAGACAAATCGGTCCAAATTCATAACGAACCTGAACTAGGGTAATTTATAAACGGACTGAGTAACTAGGCCCACCCATTTTTTATGCTTCTAACTGGAATGAGTGAGCTCACACTAGTTACCTGTTGTCCAAACTTTTGGATCAAGCTAATGCTTTTTCGAGTTATACTACACGTATATCGGGTTGACACTCCGGTGTACACTCTTCTCACATGAGATATCAAAATATTTTTTTTTATAGAAAATGCTATATGTATACCTCATGGTATACACAATGTATTACACCTTTCTAACATGAAGGAGGGTCCACGAATATTTTATTGTGTATGGGTTTCCCTTCATGTGAGGTGGTCTAATGTTATGTGTACACTATTAGCATTTTCCTAGAAAAATGAAAAATGTTATTTGTACATTAGGATTGACACTTCAATGTACACTCTTCTAACATAAAGGGATGGGCTTCACGACAATAAAAAATGGAAAATACTAATAGTGTACACATAGCATTACACTACCTCACATACACACAATAAAATATTCGTGGATCCTCCTTCATGTTAGAGGGATATAATGCATTGTGTATACCATGAAATATACATATAGCATTTTCCATAAAAAAAATCATGTGATCTCTTATATGAGGGGAGTGTACACCAGAGTGTCAACCCCGGTGTACCTGTAGTATAACTCTTTTCCCTAACCATTTGACTTGGAACATGTTCGTGAGAGAAGTATGGGCCTCGCTCCTTACAATTAAGCTTATAATTTAAGCAAACATGTTTAATATTTTCGATTGAGATCCATTGGAGCATTGGCTTGTAAGTTCCGTAATGCCAACTCATTTTTTAGTACAACTACATATCACGTAAAAGAAGTTAATGAATTGATGAGAACTAGTTAATAATATTATCAAAACAACAAAAGGAACATAATAATAGAAAAAGGATAAAAGTGGAACTCGTACGTCTTTATGTCTTGAATTGTATTGTGCTCTTGGCTCAACATCATTTGTTCTGATACGCTCGAAGAATAATTAATTTATATTTGATTGTTGTATGGGTCTGTCCATGTGTGCACATGCGAACAAAGATGAGGAAATAAGTGAAAATGACCATCTGACCAACCCTTATTTCCATTTGGCCTTTGATTAATTTAAAAAAAAAAAAAAAAAACGAAGACACAATTTTAAGACACTTTTCCAAAAATACCCCTCCATCTTCCTCTCTCTCTCTCTCTCTCGCGACGGTTTGGACAAGAAATCAGTTTCATTGACAGTCGGCAGTCCGAACATCTCCCTCACCAAAAAATTCCAGTTGCCAGCTGTTAACAGTTGTAAATGTTAGTTTTTGTGGAGTTATAATTAGATTATTGGATTTTGTTCAATTTTAATTAGATTATTGATTGGAATATTATTTTTATGGTATGAAAGGCATAATTTAGGCTAGATTTGCGTATAGACGAAGTGTATTGGCATATTTTGATTGTGTGGGGAGTTGGAGAAAGTGTTGGATTCAGGCGAAAGGAGCAAAAGCTGTTGACAGCCGGGTTTAGAACTGGTTGTTAACAGCTGGTCAAAACCGACTGTTTAACAGGCGATTTTTTTTAAATTTCCTAAATTAATTTAAATCCTTAAATGTTTAAAATTTTTAACTAAATATTTTTTTCTTGATCAAATTTAAAGAAATTTGTTATTCTAAAATTATTTTTTTAATTCTAATTTTAACTCTTTATTTGAAATTGAATTTTATTTTTATTTTTAATTTAAATTTAAAGAAATTTGTTATTTTAGAATTCATTTTCAAATTAATTTTTTAATCCTAATTTTAACTTTTTTTAAAATTTAATTTTAAATTTAAATTTTCATTTTAGTTATAATTTTAATTAAAGAAATTTGTTATTTTAAAATTAATTTTAAAATTACTTTTTTAATTCTAATTTCAACTTTTTATGTTAAATTTAATTGTAATTGTATTTTTTTTTAATTTTAATTTAAAGAAATTCGTTATTTTAAAATTAATTTTCAAATTACTTTTTTAATTCTAATTTTAACCTTTTATTTTAAATTTAATTGTAATTGTAATTTTATTTTAAATTTAAATTTTCGTTTTAATTATGATTTTAATTTGAAGAAATTCGTTATTTTAAAATTAATTTTGAAATTATTTTTTTAATTCTAATTTTAACTGTAATTTTAATTTAAATGTAATTGTAATTTTATTTTATATTTAAATTTTTATTATAATTATAATTATAATTTAAAAAAATTGTTATTTTAAAATTAATTTTAAAATTACTTTTTTAATTCTAAATTTAACTATTTATTTTAAATTTAATTGTAATTTTAATTTCCATTTTACTTTTTTTGTTATTTTAATTTTAATTTTTATGGTACTTATTCATTTTCGATAATACGGTTAAAAATTCATATTATTAATTTTTGGTAAGAGAGAAAATTTCATGAATCTGCGTCTTGTGTATAGTAGTTACGATTTGATTCGCTTAATTTTGGGTTATTATGATTCATTCCATTATTTCATGTGCAATGTTCTAATATTCTGTTTCAATTTTTACAGGATGAATTATCATCTGAATGCAGAGTTGAGACATTGAGTACCAGTTGCTCCAACATGTCGGCAAGGAGTACGCAGCGCCTGACTATATGCTCGAGTGGATCATAGGGATGTGGCCACGTATCGAGGGAAAATCATGGATGGGCTGTACACATATGTACATACCAGTGATCGTGAATCGTCACTGCATAGTTTTGGAGATTGTGTTCGCTAAGTCTATTATATATGTAGACGAACAATGTCTGACACAGGGTTAGCTTGAGCAAAATATGTAGTCCATTACTGTTTTTGTCCCTATGATGGCTAGACAAGTGGGATTAACTGTAAAGGACAGATTAGCCGTCGTGCGGGGCACGACCACGACGAGGCAGATATATCGTAAGTGGTTCTAAAATTTTTAAAATTTAAAATTTAATTTTATTTTGTGGCACGGTATTGGTCAAACTCATTATTGTTCATTTGCAAGGGCGATTGTGGAATTTTTACAATAAAGTACATCGAATTTTTTAGTATAGCACATAAGGTTGATGGAATCAACTAATCCTGGATACAGAGTTGGCGAAATAAGTTAGCATGCAACTTATTTTACTTTAATGGTGATCCATATATTTATTGTAGTTTTTTGTAATTATGAAATAATTGTAAACATTGTAAATATTGATTTGTTGTCCTTATGGAATGTTTTCAACACTCTGTAATGGATTATTAAATGATTATTGACTACGACGGTCTTTGAACTATCGTAGAATAAATACAAACACTGTTTAATTCAGATGGACTACATTACCAAATGATCTAACTATCATTTAGAGGAACATGACTTGTATAATATTAGCGAGTATGTCCTATTGATTTGCACCAGTTATACCTACACGGTCGAGGAAATTCTCCGGTAGATGGTATTCTAGACGTACTTGAACGTTTAGAACCATGCGGTTCAATGAAAGGTGACAACAATATATTGAGTGGGCGAATATGGTCGAGAATTTCCCACTCAACTTCGTTCGGCAGAGGAAATATTGTCTTAGCATACGCAACTCTCAAATAATTACTCGTGTAGTAATGAGAGCACAATATTCTAGCTGCAAATCCTCGATACATAGCAACCGCAACTGCATGCTCAAATGGAAAAGTCTCCAACTGAAATTTTTTACAAACGCGTATGTTATCAGTAAAGTCAATCATGTATGCCGTATTACGTGCACATTCCACTGAGAAGCGCAACTCGTCTAGTGGTTCGACATTCAACTGTTTTGGAAGTTCTGCAGCTTTGAATAGCCTTTCCTCTTGCGCCGGGGCTAGCACACTCGTACAATTCTGTAATTCTACATGTTGATCGTGAAACCACTGTTGTAGCTTGGTACAGATATTCTCAATTAGTGCAAGAATGAGTAATTCTCGATCCTTCTTGAATAATGCATTGAAAGACTCTGCGTTGTTTGACGTGATATGTTGTATCGACATCCTAGAAAAAACGAGTGTGCCCAATGTTCAATCCTCATTTTCGTCAGATAACCCATGCATCGAATGATTTACTTCCTATTTAAATCATGAACTTATTACACTCTTTAACACTATAGGTTTCAGCCGCTCTCCTGAACAATGAAACGATACCTTTGCCCTAATACCTGGTTTTCAGATTTCCTTGAATATGGTACATGCAATACCCATGATGTGCATCTGGAAAAACTTCAGCCATACTATTTATTAAAGGCTGTTCCCGATCGATTACAAATGCAAGGTCCTCAACTTTCTCGATTACTTCCCTTAACTTTGTGAAGAACCATCGCATCGACATGTCATTTTCGCTATCGACTATGCCGAACGCAAGAGGATAAATTTGGATGTTGGCATCTTGACATGTAGTAATAATTAACTTGCCTTGATATTTAGAGTTCAGTGTTCTACCATCAACTATAATTATGGGTCGCATTACATTTCGAAATCTCCGAATGCATTGTTCAAGAGCCATGAAGAAGAATTTGAAGCAATTCCCACCCTCCGTCTCAATAAAAAATTCTGAGTCCGGATTAGTTTTCTTCATGTTATGGCAATACCTGGCCAATTTAGCATAGCTTTCCTCTGCAGAGCCCATTAAATCCTCAAACGCACATTCTTTGACCTTCCAAACCTTCTGGTAGCTCAACACTACTTAGTACTCTCGAAAGACGCCGTTGATGATATTTGATGGTCTGTAAATCGTACGTGGGTCCTGATACTTGTGCATTATCTGTTGACCAATAAACCAAGCTCAGGCTTACCTGGGATCATTTCGCCGTAATCCCATTTCACAAGTATGTTCCCATGTATACTTGCGAACTACAAAGCACTTATTCGTGTTCATATTCGCAAACGCCAACAACAACTGTCATCTACGCAGGCGATTGTCAACAACGACTTGTTCGATTTTTCCACTTTGAACTCGAAATTCTATTTCAGCGCAATTAGGTACACAGTTGCTGGACATACAAATCCGCACTATTGGAAACCACGCGCGGGGAGTTAGAGGATGGTCCACTCGATCCAACCCCTAAGATCCCACCCCGTTCATGTCTCTGTTGGGATAAAGCGATCAAATTCTCGTCTGTAAAAGTATTTGCATTTTCACACTTATTATCGTGAACTACGGATGAAATTCTATGAGTAACTATCTCTGGAATAACCGCATCATCTTCACGAGCTATCTGGACCGTATCCCAAAAATATTAGCATTGTGATCCCCTCTATCTGAGTCTACTTGTTCACCTTCGACGACATCTTTCCTCACTAAAGTCACGCAAACAGGAGTCGAGTGCCTATTATTCATTTCAAACAGATAATTCACTTCGATATCAAAAGAAATCGTCATAGGTGGACTCGAAACTCCTGATCGCTAAATTTAAATTTCAATTTCATGTTATACTGAGAGAGATCGATATTTAGTTTGTTCTGTAAAATATTATAGAGTTCTACATACATTGTTGTTTCTGTTATGAAAATTGGGATACCACCACGTTTATTACTCGTTCATTTTTATACCCATCAATCTCTTTCGTCCAATTTGAAATTACCAAAGTAACAAAATGGGACTACAACTATATCTGCATGACGAAAAAGAATTTTTAATTGTTAGAAAATATCGAAGGAAATAAAAAAATTATAATCAGCCGGATGTTTAAAAAAAGTCGGTTCTTTCGACAAACATCCAGCTGCCAACTATTATTTTTCGGCTATCTAGCCGGCTATTAAATAGTCCGGTTGTCCAGTCGGGTTTTTTCAACAGTTAACTAGACAGTCGGCAGTTCAAATTCGACTGTTCGACAGAATAAACACACCAAGTTTTTGCAGATTAATTTTTCAGTATGAATTTTTTCTTGTCAAAGGCTTAAAATTTTTCATAAATCTATTAAAAAAACTATCTACATTAACATTATATGTCAAAATAAATTTTATCTATGCAAATGTAAAATAATTTAACGAAAACAAAATTAAATGTGCATATTATAAACTTACGATATGATGAGATTGATGTAAAAAAAAATTCAGCTACCGCGTTCGATGAATTTTTTAGATCTTGAGGTTGAAGCAGATGAAAGATGAAAGTATTTTTATCTGTGTTGGAGTAAACAGATATGAGAAGTTTGCTGATTTTGATATTTTAAATAAGAAGTGTTTGATTTTTATTTGTTAACTAAAAAGTAGTAATGTATTTTAAACAAAACATTGTTTTGTAATTGTATAATACACTCAAGAGTATTTTTGTCTTTTAACACTCAATAGGCTATTGTGATCATATTAACAATTGAACAAGCCCAAGTGGAATTTCCCTTCTTTGACTATTCCATTTTTAAAAGTACCCCCAAAAGATGGGGCAAAAAAGTTGGGGAAATACATAGAAATGACCTAAACAAAAGAGGCTATTTTTCCAAAATAACATTTGACCAATTTATCTACCTAAAAAACTTCCTCCTTTTGAATATTGCATAATAAGTCACTATAATATAGAAATCTTCCATTTTAATCCTTAAAAAATTAAATATTAGTTGAATTTTAAAAGATTTATTGTTTATAGTTCTTCAGATTTATTTAATTTATTTGATTTTTGTTTGCTCAAAGTAGCACTACTAATTGATATCAGAGCCATAGAGATCATGGAAATTAAAATAAAAAAATAAATAATTATTGACATTTAGAAGAAGAAAGAAGAAATTATATATTTTTAAAACCTATTCATGATAAATTAAAAATAAAAACAATAATAATATTTAAAGAACTACCCAAAGATATAAAAGAACAAATAGTAGAAAAAGTAATAATATGATCAATAAAGGATAAATATATATGTGAAAATTTTGTTAAAGTATATGAAGATGAAGAAATTAATTTATAATATAAAGAGAAATATGAGTGCAAGTAATAATACAGATTGGAAATAGAATAAATTACTTATAAAAATGAAAAAAAATACAAGATATAATGTTAATACCAGAAGGAATAAGAGTATCAATAAAAGACAATTAATAAAATTAAAATGTGAAAGATTAAGACTTGAAAGTAAATATTTTAATATAGTAAAAGAGAAATTAGTAAATATAGATATAGCTAATAGAATATTTGGAATAATAATAGATAAAAAAGAAGATAAAAGATGCAAATTAACTTATATGTTAGAAAAATGATTAGAAAAAATTAATATGTCAATAAGTGAATATATGGAAGAACTAAAATCATTAATAAAAATGTTAATAAATGATGTACAAAATTTAAGAAATGAAGTAAAAGAAACAAGAAACGATATAAACATATTAAAAATTGAAATTAGAGAAATAAAAAAATAATAAAAATAAAGATAAAAACATAAATAAAAAATTAATAGAAAAAAAATGATCTGTATAGGAAAGAAATATATTGAGAAAGAGAATATAGTAATAGAAACAGGAAGTATGAATGATGAATTTAGAAAAAATATATTACCTAAAATATTAGAAGAAGAAGAAGAATTTAGAGAAAAAAATATTAGAAAAATTAAAAGAAAAAGAAGATAAAGATGAATGAGGAATTAGATTTACTAATAGAGAATTTTGATCAATTAAGTTTAAGTGATATTAGTGAATACCAAATTTTAATGAATGCTGGATGATGACCTAATCCAATAAGAACCTCTAAACAAGAATTGCAAGAATCAGATGAAAGTTATGCACCTATATATAATAAAGTATATAAACAATTTTATGATAAAGTAAGAGATAGACAACCACCTAAAGAAAATAAATATAGAGATAAGTTTGAATTAAATGATAATTATGATAAACATATTAACCATAGAGGAACAAAATTAGATTTAAATTGCAAAATAGATACTAAAAAAGCCTTATTAACTTGGACAAATTTAATGATATTATTCTTTTTATATAATAAAGATGACACATAGAAAAGTACTAAAAGAAGAATATATTTCTTAATAGCATACTTTTAAGGAGATGTTAGAAATTAGTGGGAAGGAATAAGTAATGATATAAAAATATTAATAAAAATAAATGTACAAACAAAGATAATAAAATCAGATAGACAAGGTATAGAAAAGTTAGTAAAATATATTTCAGATGAATTTTTAGGAGAAAATTGGATAAGAAAGGCTGAAAGAGAAGCAATAAGAGAAAAAAGATAATGCTAAAATTTAATTAATAAATTAAACAATATGTGATATGTGTAAAATTAAAGAATATACTTTTGAATTTAGAAATTATTATTATGTTCAGTTCTATAGTAATGAAAATCAAGAAGTATACTAAGACATATACTATAATAAGTTACCAAGCTCCTGGGAAATATATTTTAAAATAGAATTTGAAAAATATGTCAGAGATAATATTGGAATACATAGAACTTTAGGTTCAAGAATAAAATTTTTATTTGAAATACTTGCAAATATATGTCAACAAAGACAATTATTGAAAAAATTAGGGAAATTAACTAGAATACGTGTGGAGATATGGAAAACCCTATACAATGAGGATGCAATCCTGAAAGAAGGGTTAACAGAAGAAAATATAAAAACAAAACTTTAAAAAATTTAGAAATTTTAATAAAAAATATATAAACCTATAAGAAGATATTATAAAAGAAAAAATATTTCATATGGTCAACAGAAAAATAAATTTTATAAGAAAAATAAAAGCCAATGTAAATATTGGAATTGCGGGAAAATAGGTCATATAAGCCCTGATTGTGATAAAAAGAAAATTTAAATATTGCAAAAAGAATATTTGGAAATAAAAGATGAATTGAGTGAAATAACATATATTGAAGAATATTATAATCAAGAGGTTTATATAAGTGAAACAAAAGATGATCGATCAAATTCTGAATGAGGAAATAGAAAGTAATAATATAAATATACAAGAATATAAAAGAATAGAAGGATATGAATTAAAAGTTACGCTTGACAACAATAAATTTAGAAAATTACAAAAATTATTTTTAGATTTAAAAATAAGAAAATGGAAAGTCTTAGATAGAATTTGGAAAAGAGAAATGATAGCAATAATTGAATATCATAAAATAGAAAAAACTATAGATATAAAAACAACATATGAAAATCATAAATTAAATCTTTTAAAAAAAAAATACAGTAGAAGAACTGTTAACAAAGGTCAGTAAAAAATAAAGTGAAAAAAACCAATAAGTTTATTTAGTAGGAATACAAATAATGTTTAAATCATTATTCAGAGAAGTAATAAACTCACCCTTAACTATAACCTTACATGATGGAAGAATAACAAATTTAAAAGATAGTCATTTGGGAATAATAGAAGGAAATCTGACATATCAAAAAATAATGTTTGCATGCTACCTAAAATATTGTGTATCATTGAAAGATAGAAACTTTAATAAAGTTTTAGAATTGCATTTTAAGTTACATAGAGATGATATTATGCAACCAGGTAATCAAATTATGACTATAGAATATAGAGCTTCATATACATTTACCAATTCGAATTATGAGAATATTTATTCAAATAAACCATATATTAAAATTCATAAAAATGTAAGGATATTAGCAAAATAATATAACAAAATAAACAAATAAATTTAATTCCAGAAAAATATGAATTT